GACGTTGCAGTGACTCTCCTGCGCTCTGCCCCGTCCTGTGACAGGTATGGGGCCCACCTGCCTTGAGGCCTCACCTGCCTTTAGAACCCATCACCCCGTACAGCCTGTCCCAAAGGGTGTACCAGAGAGATGGAGAATTGCAGGACACTCCAGCTCCTGTCTCCCCCAGGCTGGCACGTCAGCCCCCAGTGCTGAGGCCACCCTGCCTCCCTGCCCCACAAGGCACCGTGGCTCTGTCACCTGGGCCCCGCAGCTGCCCAGGCCACAGTGCTGTGTCCTACACGCCCTGACCCAGAGTTCTGACACCACAGAGCTGCTCGCACCATGTGGAGGACGCTCATCTCCTCGTGGAAAACTCAGGAGCCGGTGCTGCAGATACTCTTCCTTGTGCTGGAATACTGGCCAGTGCACAGGAGATGCACCTCTGATGGGGATGACACGGCTGTCTTTCCCCTGGCTGTGAGTTTCTGGAACTGGCCTCCCCTCGCCCCCATAGTCGCCTCTCTGATGCCTTTCCGTCCTCCTTCCCCACTGCTTGTCTCTGCCTCAGACACTGGGCTGCAAACCTAGCATAAGGGCAGGTTCAAGGGCATCAGGCCGGGTGAGGCCCCTGTGTCTCCCCTGGCCTCTCCCTGCCATGCTCGGGCACTGCCCAGTGGACATGTGGGCACTGAGAGCTGTGTCTGGGTGCTTTGTCTTTGGCAGGCAACTGTGGCACTCTGGGAGATCCTCCAGCTGTCCTGGTTCCCTAGTGGAGTGAAGGAGAATTCCCCCCGCCTCCTTCTGACTCTGTTCTTCCAAGTTTTCATCAGCACAGAGGAGATGTCACAGGAGGTCCACACCTTCTGGAGGCGCTGCCGGGAGCAACGCAGCCTTCCCACCGCCCCCAACAGGTGCTCCATCCCAGTCCTCTATCCCTGCCACGTCCTGGGGGCTGTGGCCAGGGCTCTCGGCATCACCTGGGCTGTGCTCTGCACACAGGTTTGCAGTGCAGACCATTAAAGCCCTGCTCGGCCAGCTGGTGGGTGGAGATGTGTTGCTGGAAATAGATTGCAAGTGTGTCTGGGACACGCTCCTCA